GGAGCTTGATGTCGGGGCGTTGCTTGAAGGCGGTTCAAGGCATGGCCGCTCGGTTTGCCGTTGCTGAGGAGACCGCCGAAGAGTTGATCAGTATTCCACGGGAGAATCTCGCCAAGGCATTGGATGGGCTCGGCGTGCTTGACAGTCGCAAGATCACCGACTGCCTGACTCTGCTGTCCACCGAGTTTACTTCCAACCCCGCAAAGTTCCGCCCACGGATAACCTCCTCCTCTTTCACTGGCATCAGCAACAAGTTCCACAAAGTGGAAAAGGCCGCGCCAAAGGCTGCGCCAGACGAAGCCCTGAGCAATGCGATTCAGCCAATGTCAAACGACCCAGCGCAGCTGGAAGCTGTTGGGGTTGGGGCTGTTGGGGCCCAGATGTTGACAACTTGGCTGTAAAGATTGGTGATTGGCTGGGAACTTTACACATTGGCGCTCGTGGCTGCAAAGGTCTTGTTAGCCACCTTACAGCAAGAAATCCATTTTTCAGAGGCAGAAGCAATAGGTTCCCTGGAAAAGCAGAAACACGACTGCGCCAAGGGCTGTTCCAGACAGAGCCCTTCGTTTGCGAAGAGTTTCAGGCCCTGTCAGTGGACTCAGCAGGAAGCTACTCAAGTGTACTTGATCAAATTCCGTCAACCTGAAACATTGCCGTTTATCCACTTGCCAGTGAAGAATCTCTGATTCAAGAGGGAGGCGGAAATGGCGTTTGCGTCCAAAGGCTGAGGCAGACAAACAATGCCCAGATTTAGCCGTCTTACATGCCGCACAGCTGGACGCTGTTTAGGCCCAGCTGTTCACGCTGTTTAGGCCCAGCTGTTGACGACTTGGCTGCAATGATCGGCAATTGGCTGTGTGCCTTACACGTTGGCGCTTGTCACTGCAAAGGTTAGTATATTCCCCTTACAGCAAAGAATCTCTAATTCAACATCCAGAGGGAGGCCGGCGTGAGCAAACGAGCTCCTACTGTTTCGGTTCCCTGGAAAGCGGAAACAGCGACTGCGCCAAAGGCTGTTCCTGACAGAGCCCTTCGTTTGCGAAGAGTTTCAGGCCCTGTCAGTGGACGCAGCAGGAAGCTACTCAGCTTCAAATTCCGTTGCTTATCCACTGTCCAGTGAATAACCTCTGATTCAAGAGGAAGGCGGCAATGGTGTCGAAACCTGGGCAATGCCAGTCTTATGCCGCAAAGCTGGAAGCTGTTTAGGCCCAGCTGTTCACGACTTGGCTGCAATGGTCGGCAATTGGCCGTGTGCCTTACACGTTGGCGCTTGTCGCTGCGAAGGTTAGTATATTCCCCTTACAGCAAAGAATCTCTAATTCAACATCCAGAGGGAGGCCGGCGTGAGCAAACGAGCTCCTACTGTTTCGGTTCCCTGGAAAGCGGAAACAGCGACTGCGCCAAAGGCTGTTCCTGACAGAGCCCTTCGTTTGCGAAGAGTTTCAGGCCCTGTCAGTGGACGCAGCAGGAAGCTACTTAGCTTCAAATTCCGTTGCTTATCCACTGTCCAGTGAAGAACCTCTGATTCAAGAGGAAGGCGGCAATGGTGTCAAAACCTGGGCAATGCCAGTCTTACATGCCGCAAAGCTGGAAGCTGTTTAGGCCCAGCTGTTGACGACTTGGCTGCAATGATCGGCAATTGGCCGTGTGCCTTACACGTTGGCGCTTGTTGCTGCAAAGGTTAGTATACCCCCCTCACAGCAAAGAATCTCTAATTCAACATCCAGACAAAGGCCGGCGTGAGCAAACGATCTCCTACTGTTTCGGTTCCCTGGAAAGCGGAAACAGCGACTGCGCCAAAGGCTGTTCCTGACAGAGCCCTTCGTTTGCGAAGAGTTTCAGGCGCTGTCAATGGAGGCGCAGCACGAAGCTGCTGCAAACGACTTAGCTGTACTTGATCAGTAAATGCCATTAACCTTGGAGCTGTTGAGGCCCAGCTGTTGACGACTTGGCTGTAATGATTGAGCATTGGCTGTGAACCTTAACATTGGCGCTCACCCCTGCAATGGTTTGTGTTTATCCACCTTACAGAAAAGAATCCCTGATTCAACATCCAGAGGGAGATCGACAGAGAGTCGACTCGTGTTTCAGCGGCAGAAGTGATGGGTTTTCTGGCAAAGCGGAGATATCAGATGTAGAGGGCTTTAACTACCACGGAGGTCAGGAATCTTCTGGCTGTACTGATCAGTCGACGAGAACAGTTCCGAAGGACTGACTCACCAAGATGGCCACTACTTTTTCGCAGATGATCCTTTTCAAAGGCAGTGCGGTCGAGTCATTTATCGAGATTGGTGTCGGACGCCTGTGCATTCTGAACGCATCGGCCGGAAAAGGTGCACATTCGTAGTGCGGTCGCAGTCAAAAAGCAAGACTATAGACCAAGTCAACTTAACTTGAGGGTGTTCCAAGCATGGCACCAGCTCGGCTTTACGAGGGATGCAAAGTTTTTTGTCGAGCGGAGGGTTTGGGGCCCCGAGTTGTTTTTTTGCCCCTAGGTTTGGCGGGCTGGGTCGTGGAAGGTCCCAGTCGGTCGGTCGGTCGGTCCTTTTGGGTGGTGCTTTTGGGCTTTCGCGGCCTTTTGCGTGCTTTTGGAGTGTTTCTCGGCGATTGTTATCGCTTTGGCTTTCCACATCCTCAGCTGCAAGTGTGTTGTGCTGAGGGCTTGCTTGAACAGCCCCCTTTGAGGTTGAGTCGAAACAGGGACTGTCACATCTGCCAACAGCTCTTCAGAAGCAATGGCTTTTTGCGAGCTAGCAGCTTTGCATCCTTAGCATCCTTAGCATCAGCGTCAGCAGCGATAGCGATGGCTTTAGATGCCAAATATGCCTCACACCTCCAGTGTCAGTAGAAGCAAAGAGCAGCTGTTTCATTGGTCATCGGTTTTGACGGCCCACCTCGATATGCATTCTCGACATTTTACAAGTTGCAGGGTCCCTTCTATTTCACAACTCAAGGGACCTCTGACTTAAGGACCTCTGCAAAGGTCGAGGGGCGGCAACTTGACCTTTTCGTTCCCCGACCCTTACGAGTGTCAATTGTCATTTGGTGATTCAAATTTGCAATCTGGAGTGAGGACTAGTAAGCCAAACGCCGACCATGCTTCACGGACAATATCAGTTGTGTATGGCTTCCTTCTGCCGTGTGAGAAAAACTGATTCACTCCACGTGTTTGAAAGGTTGATCCACGCCCAAAATACATGACATGGCAGCAACCTGCTACTTGCAACATATGTTTTTTTGGCCGCGTTTTGACGAGCAGTTCATTAATTGCAACCTTGTAGGGGCCAAGTATTTTTTTTTGCGTCAAAATAGGTTCCCCCAACTTGAGGGCCTTGACGTTGACTTTTTTGCTCTGGACTACAAAAACATGGCACACCTTCTACAGCTGAAGGGCAAAGGGAGGCCCAGGAAGGGCAAAGGCCAAACACTTTGGTTGGTGGTTGGTGGTTGGTGGACAAGCTCTAAAGGGTTTGTCTTGCATATAAAGGCCCTCTTGGTTGAATTCAGGAAGTGCCTAGGTTGATCCCCTTCTTTTTGAGGGGACACATGACATGCAGTGCCGAGTTCGACCCATTTTTTGAGGGGGAACACGGATCTGACAAACGCTGATAAATACGTTTTTTTTTTTTTTTTCCGCATTTTTGCCAGGGAGCAGAACGCTGTTGTTTGGATTGGTTCATTTTGCTTTGTTGATTCACAAGGAACTGGATAAGGGAAACAACCCTTTGGAAGTGGGTTATGATTCCATTTTCAAGCAGCAGTTTCAGGTGTCCTTCTTCTCCATTTGTGTTTCTTTTCATTTGGCACGCATAAGGAAGTACAATCGGTCAAAGTTGAACTTGAAACAGCATTTTATTTGCAATATCATTCCCAATTTGAGGTTCAACAGATGTTATCGGCACATGTCAAATCGAGTCAATTTGACAAGCAACACATTTGGGTTTGCTTTCCAAACTTGATTCCAGAATGGAGTTAGAACGTACATGGCTTGATACATGTATAGAATTTCAAGAACATGAGTGGATCACTTTCATACTTGATTTAGGTTTCTATTTCCACAGCATTGTAGACAGGAAGTAGTTCCTTGCCCCCAAATTGATGGGTGCCTGAAATTTCTTGCAAAACGATAAGAACTAAAGACACAATGACAGAAATGCTATACAGGCACGTTGAAGCTGCCAAAGTGCACTTTGCTTACTCCATTTGTCAGAGTTGCCTTCTATTTTGTCCTCGAAATATCATTTAAAATTCAATTTACATGGAATTGAAAAGGCAGCAAGTTTTGTAAGCATATTTTGTGTGTCACTTTTTTATTTGGAGAGACCCATATGGTCTGATATACATATACATATATATATATAAATACAATATTTGTTTGTGCCAGTATATTCACTGTTGCTCATTGATTCGTTCAGTATTGTTTGCACTGTAGTTGTTTTACGATTTGCATTTTATTTCATTGACTCTATTGCAGTGTTTGGAAGTAGGACCACGCTCAGATTGCCGTAGCTCAAAGCACGATTAGCATACTTTGTCCACTCGTGTCCACAATTTTGCACGGGCAATTTCAGTCACACACATCCATACTTGGACGTGCAGGCTCATGTTACGAGAAGCTGAGCAAAGCTTGCCAGGAAGCCAAACAACCTGCGCCGACAAGTAGTTAAGGGTGCTGCTTGCGGCCAGTCTTTGCCCATGGCTGCTGAACAGGTCTTGGCAGGGGAGTTGCAAATGACTTCATTTCAAGCTTCCAGAATGCCAAATGAGAGGCTGCCTAGCAGTGAAGGCACAAATGAAGGCTGCGGGGCCGGAATTGTGTGTGAAAACCTCATTTATCTACCGTCAATATATTTTCGGCCGAAGAAAAGAATGGGCTATCCAATAGAGCTGAGTGCAAGCTGTTGGCTGGGAAGTGGGCAGCTGTGTGGACAGCTCAATGCGTCACTCTGAAACTCTGCTTCCCTGTCGCTCCGAATCCACACAAGCCAAGTGCGGCTCTTTGCAGTCTCTTCTCTGTCGTCCCGCGACGCGAATGAGCAGTGATTTGGGGGCTTGTGATTGCTCCGCGTCAAAGCAGTCCTTGCGCGCTCATGGCAGAGAGCTTCATTCCTGGCACCGCCCTGCTCCGTATGTCTTGGCAGCCTTGGAAGTGTCCACCTTCAAATTCACCATGCACTCGCAACAAGTGTCACCACAACGGGTAGCTTTGCTTAGAGCATGCAACATGCGTGCTAGATGGTCGCTGGGCCAAGCGCGAGTCTTTGGGAATGTCTCTGAAGCAGCCGAGCCAACATGGCTAGCCAGAAGCTTTCAGATGATACTAGAGTGCTGACAATCGCAACCGTGCGCAAATTGTCCTTGTTTGAGAGCATGTCCTGTGCTAAGCAGTAATAACACTGCCGCCTTTTCCACTTCAGCAATGCTTGGTGCACGTAGACGCGAAAATGCTGTACTAGTAGAAGGTGGAAAACCAGCGCATAGTGAACTCCAAGCTCAGTGGATGAGTAGGAAGTATTCACCAAAATCCAGTATCAATGGGCCAGTCAGTTTTCCTTGCCAGTGGTTACCTTGTTGAGCTGCTTGGTAGCAGGTACTTAGGCAACACCTGCGTAGTAGCATATGCAAACACCACAAGCCCATGCCCAAGCTCAAACAGAAATACAACAGTGATAGGCGACCTTCGCCGGGTGTGGAGAGCAGTGACCTTTGTCTTTGTCTTTGTCTTTGGTACAGCTATGTACGAGTGCCAGCCAAAGCGTGCAAAACGACATGACGGAAAGAGGACACGCGATCACGTAGAAGTACCATTTGCCCAGAAGCTTGGTGGCCACCCAAGCTTGTTCGCCAATGCTGTGGTCAGCCCACTAGCAACGTGGGAAAAAAGGTAGTACCAGCACTCGCCAATGATTCAAGCCTTCCGTCAGAGTGCAAGTGCCGCACAAGTGTGACTGGAATATTTTTCATTTCAGGCATGTCTAGCTTTGCTGGGCGAGACTAAGCGTTTGCATTGTGGCATCAACAGCAACACTGATGCACGGAGCCGAATGTAATACCTCGTCCACACTTGGGTATGGGTCAAAATTAAACCACCAGGGGGCCGCAGGTTTCCACTTACCAGGGTTCCATTTGCGGTACCCATTTTTGACCTACAGCCATTTGTTAACAATGGCAATCAGACGCCATCCGTATTCTCCATTCTACAGAATCAGAATGTCCGTGCCCATTTGAGGACATCAATGAATGCAGTGCACCAATTCTGCAATTTCTGAAGTAAGTTTCCGAGTGGGGGTGCATTTGCAGTTTTTGCAAAACGGTTTCCATGCTGAGGGAGACGTGAGCATCAACATGAGTGTGGTAGGGATGTGAACAAAGCCAGCTGATTTGTTTGGCACTCATTGGCATTCAGAAGCCTGGCACATGCAATTCCAAAGGGCACAAGGCCAAATCCTCTCTACTTTCACTTGCCATTGGCCAGATTCAGTTATCAGAATGTGCGGAAACTCGAAGGTTACCGCAAAAGGCTTTAGCATGAGCATGGCCGCTGCCATTTAGCTGTGCAAGTGCAGCAGAACCATGCAAAGAGCTGATATGAGTCCATTACATGAGATGCCCGCAGCCATGCCACTTGATTCGCCTTTGGCTTTCTCGAGCAAACTTGTCAACGATTGCTCAGCTTATCTTATCAGCTTTATTTCACATTATTTGCAGTGCAAGCCAGCACCATGAAGCTGATGGATGTGCTGAAACGCAGGACAGGCAGCTCGGTTGTTTTTCGATTTGTAAGTTATACCTGTTCAAAGCGCAGGATTTTGGCGGTGCCTTTTAGACCGAGGCTTCCTTGAGCTGCCACATGATACTGATTCGCCAAGCTCAGGGGTTGTGAGAATCAGAGGCTCGAGGACTGTTTTGGATGCCAAACTTCGCATAAGGCAACCCACCCTTCCACCTCCGAATGCTCAATTCCATTGACACGGCGGTGCAAGATTCAGCGGAGCTCCAAGCGCTTTGCGATTCACATTTGCAATGCTCAGTAGAAAATGCAGATGATCCCTCACAGCCAGTGTTTCTCGCGGACTCTCCTTGTGAGCTGACCCTGTTTGGCATTCCATGTGACTGTTGAGAGAAAGGGGGCAGGTGAGAATGGAACAACTGGCTGTTTCATGATTCATTGAGTGCATCAGCGTTGCTTCTCCTTGCATGCAATGTTTGAGTGCAATGAAGCCTTAGTCCTTCCTAGTTGATTGTTAGGCTCATTTTGTGGACGGGGGCAGTTGGTTTCAAGATCCGATCCACCAAAGACAATGCAAGTGACTTCTACTCCTTTGGTAATTCAATTGCTTCCTTTGCTGAGCGCTTGTGAGCGACGAAACTCCTGGTAGGAGACGATGAGAACCTACGTGGTAGGGCTACTGGCACTGTTTACACCTGTGTCGGCACCTGGGAATGAGATGGAAAGACCAGGGCTCACCCAAAAGGGGGAACTGCTCGCTTAGCTGCCATGATGCCATGATGCTAAAAGAAACTCCGAGCTTTGTTTTTTGAAGACATTGGCACACTCCCAACAACACTTGAGAGGTCGGTGTTGGCAGTCTCTAAGCTGGCTGTTTCTAGTCATTCTTTGCGTGCCCATGATATAGGAACTTGTGCATTCTGGCAGGCACATGTTGCCAGATTCGAGCAGCCATGAACAGATCCAATCTGACCGCTTCAATCGTTGAAGTGGACATTGCAACCTCTGGTGAACTCATGCGAAGCCCACGCCTAGCAGCTGTTCCTGCACGGAACCACTGAACAACAACTCTGCGCCTTTGATGCTAAGATATTTGTTTCACAACATCCAGATGATTGACTTAAACATGCATTTTGTAGAATATATACGTGAACCCCAACAGCTTGCCTGGTTGCCATCTCTGAAGAAGTTTTCTTCGCTCGCAACTTGGCTGTTGCCGCCATGCGGTCTGCATATTGAGAACATTGCAGTGCCCGTGGAATGCTCCACGGTTGGAACACCTTTCTCTCCCAAGCAGACTTGGGCGAGAGGTGACTCCTATGTTGCCCGGTTGGTTCAATTTTCCCTTCGGTGGGGCAATGGAGGGCAATTGGAATGGACCTCCTTAATCCAATAGAATCCAATTCTCCTCCTCAGAATAGACAGGCGCCAAACGGGCGCAACGACAATTATTCAATAACCGACTCCAGCAATTTCATCAAATGGCCAAGGCCAGTTAAGTGCAGCTTTGCAGTGCAACAAATCTACCGCAAGTATCGCCAGCGAATTGACTTTCAGCAGTTCTGATACATTTGCACTTGGTAGCGACACCACGGGCAAAAGCCAAAGCATCCCATGCCTTCGTCTGAGGCTCAAACTCTGCAGGCGTGGACGGGGTTCCAATGGGGAAGGGGGGCAAACTCGTTCAATTTATCTCTTATGAATTTGTTCGCAGGACCCATGGCTCATTGGTTCAAAGCACCCACTCTGGCTGGGGGAACTCGGCAGCACTTTCAACTCCTGTAGCACGAGGAAGTTGATTCCCTGCGACTTGTGGAAAAGCTTGTGCCATAGTGGGCCCAGCGAGAAAGTCAAAGAACACACAGCTGGCGGCCAGGCTCAGGCGGCGGAGGTAGAGATCTGCTTCAACAAGACCAACGTGGACCCCTACTGCGGGAAGATCCTCGTCAAAAACATATCGCATGGCAGTGGATCAAAATTGGGTGCGGAAAATGGAACCCTGGTAAATGGAAACAAGCTCTAAACCAGCGGTCCCCTGGTGGTTTAGTTTTGCCCCATGCCCACATGTGCAGGATGTCAGGTTAGGAAGCTCCTTGCTGGAAGTAATCATTGGCACTGGTAAGCCTCCCGCGACAGGCATATAGAGCTCGCTGTGAAGACACCCACCAATTTGAGAATTGTGACGCCTTTTCCCGCTCCTGTGTCATCCTGCGAATGAGGCCAAAGGTCAGGTTGGTTTGCCCAACTCTGAGACAGTGTGCAGAGCTTTTTGGCTTTTGTACCTGTCTCGTACAGGAGTATTTTGTTTGGGATGCTGCACAGAAGAGACAGAAGGAAGTAGATTCAAGTGGAAGTCTTCGGGGTAAGAATCCCGAAGAACACATCAACTCTCACACACACGCACACGCACACGTATCCCTGACCAAGTATGCAATTTTCTTTGAGTGTCACCTTGCAATTTTAGCTCCCTCCGTTTATCATTGATCCTCCCTTTTGCTCAGTTAAAAAAGAACACCCAGGATCGCATTGACTTCCCCCACGGAGCCGTAAATGCTTCACAGAACATCAAGTGCGTGGGACAAGACCCCCTCGGTCAAGCTCTCCTCAACCGGCTTCCGCCCTTCGGCCCTTCGGCCCTTCGGCCCTTCGGCCCTTCGGCCCTTCGGCCCTTGGACCCTTTGAAGTTGGGGGCGGTTTCAGCGGGCTCAGGCGATGGGCGGTGATCAACGGCGCCATTGTCAAGGAGTTTTGGGAGGTGCATGAGCTGGAGTTCTACTGGGACAGCCAGCGCCCAGGGCTGCGGTTTTGCCTAAAACACAGAAACAACCGCTGCACTGTGCAGTAATTCCCAGCAGTGGGTTGTGACGCCAACCTATTCACTCAAGGGGTTGCAAGTCGATCTAGACAACGTTTGGCACGCATGCGGCGAATGGTGCCAAGCAAGGCTGGGCTAGCTTTGTCCCTTCAAAATGCAGGCGGCTGTGGGTCCACGGCTGAAGCACTTGAGGTGGGTCCATGTCTTAGCCAAACGCAAGGCATACCTTGGGGGATTGAACATTGTGTTGGGCAGTTTTTTGGCTGTCTGAGTGCTGCGACTCTCTGGTTATTTGGAAAAGGCGAGGCGTGCAGTAGTCCTTTGCCCTCACAGCCTGATGGAACATCAAATGGAAAATGAACAGCTGAGCACACAATTTGCAGATCGAGGGAGCAAAACCAAGAGCCTGCACCGAGGTCAGTGACCAGTTTGGAGGTGTGCTTGCCCCATGTTTCGCAGGTTTGTCTTGTAAACGCCTAGGGAGCTAGCCTCAGACTCGCCTTGTGCTTGGGCTGTCATTACGAGCAAAGCGCAACAAGAGCGGCAGGCAGCTAGCAGGTCAGAATGCGCCTGCTTGCTGCACATCTACGAGAGTAATCATTTCATTAAGATACCGTACCAGCCGTCTAGCAAAAACAAGAACAAGATGACCTAGATGGTTTGCAACAACCACATTGGAAGGAACATTCCACAAAATACACAATTATCATGGTAGACCTGCCTGTGGCTTTTTAAAACTTTTACGCTGACTCGTACAAACATATCGTGACCAAAGACCAAAGTAAAGGATTCCCTTCGAATCTGGCCGTCTCTGGCCTTTCGGCCCCAAAACTGCAGGTGCTCCTTGCCCTTCCCGCGGGGCCTGCCAGCGGCCAGCTCCGTGATGTCCTCTTTCCCGGGGAACACGGCGGACATGGCCTGGGACGCTGACCTCGTGACCAAGTGGTCCGCGAATTGCCGTCAGGTGCTCGGCGGGTGCAACCCCTTCACGCGCCTCGGAGGGTTTGCAGCGGCACGGGAGAGAGGGCGCTTTTCGGCAAACGGAGGAAAGGGCAGTACCAGGATGTCGGATGGTTCCACTGCGTGGTTTACCCTGAAGGGAGCTGGGATTCGTCAAGGTGAAACCATGTGCAGACTTGAAGCTTGAAAATCGCTGTCTTCTTGATTGCCTTGTTGCGAGGGTGTGGGGTGTGGGGCAGTCCGCTTGTTCTGTTTGTTGGAACTTTTGGAAGTTTCATTGGCGCCTGGCCGCCTGACCGTTGCGGGCATTCAAGTTGGCTGAGTTGCAAGGTTCTTCTCCAGGGGGGCGGCTTCTTTTTTTGCGCCCAAGAGATGGATCGCGTTTGCCCCAAATGTTGGATCCCTTTTGCGCCCAAACATAGTCCTACTTGGAGCTATTGAACGCCAAACTCATGCGCCCTGTCAGTGTTTTGATCCGGGAGCGAAAGTGGAGAGATTGTTAGTTACAGTCTAAAAGCATTCCAAGTTCTAAGATTATGAGTTTTGAAGCCTTTTATCATTGTCCTCGCATGTGGGAGTCTTTTTGTTTGCGAGGGAATGAAGGTGTCCGCTGACATCCGTTCCCTTCAGATCGACCATAATTCAACCAGCTGAAATCATGGTTTTGCATTCGCTTCTATACTTTTCCCGAAGATTGCGTACTGACCCTGTGTGAGTCCGTGGAATGAAGTTTGCAGCAGTTGCAGAGCGAACGTGACTTGCTTGTTTTCCTGCGGAAACTTCTGGGCCAGACCATGTCTCAAACCAAGACTTGGGCTGGATGTCAGGCATTGGATTGGGAAGAACATTGGCGACTCCACGCCCTTGAACAAGGCGCGGACCAAGCACTTCGACTGTGCCTTCGGGCGCTTTTTCGGCAACCGCGCGCTAAACTCAATGTGGGACAATTGGAGGGCTGGACAGTATGTACGAACTATCCGCTATGTGTAAAACACCCTTCACCTTCAGTTTAGTATTTGGCAGACCTTTGTGTGCAAAACTTTTGTTTCAATGCAAAACAACCACGAGTTAGCAAGAAAGACGACACATCTGCAATATAAATACGGATCATGGGAAACTGCCTTGTCAGCTGGGGAAAAAACCTCTTCACAGGAACGGAGCGAGAACCTAGACCATGGTGTTTTTCCCAAGAAGTTGCCTTTTGCACGCCTTTCCTTACATCCTCACGTTTTCTGACGACAACGACTGAACGGTTGTGTTTTTTCGAGCTGGACCTGCCAAAGTGTACTTCACGCGCTACACTCATACTGAGAAGTTGCGATTTTTCAAGGTGGGGTTTGAAAAGTGGGGTTTGAAAAGTGGACTTCGTGCACTTCATGAAAGCAACGACGAGTTGGAGCCGAAAAACATGGTGAGCCCCCCACTTGCTGTTTGAACCTCCGCCGGTACAACAAGTGCCTCCCCCCACTTGTTGTTCAGATGCCCCACACTTGTTGTTAAACCCCCCCACCCCCTTCTTGAATCATCGAAGGGGTATGCATGTTCCAAAAATTGCAAAAGTACACTTTGCGTGCTCCACATTTGCTGCAAAGTTTCATTTTTTGTCGAGTCAAACAGTGCTTCGCCTGCTGCACGTGTTCTGACAAGTTGCTGTTGTCGAGGTGGAGCTGCCAAAGTGCACTTTGTGTGCTGCACTTGTACTTTTTTGCTAGACGCGCAATGGTAAGCAGCAAACATCGGGCTTGCAGGTGGCCCTTTAGCTCTTATCAAAAGCAAGGGTCAGGAGCGCGGTGCGTTGGCTTCGGTTGGAAGCATTCCTGCCACAGCCACAAGAGCACCTGTCAAACAAAGAGTTGGTTTCAAGGCTGACGTTTGACGGTTGCGTCGGTCGCTTCCTTTCTCTGCTCCGTGGCTTGCCTCAGAGGAGCCGCTGGAGAAGTTCGCGCAGGTGCGGTGCACGCGAATCTTCCAGTCAGCGAATGCCTCGCGGCAGAGCTCAAAGATATCAGTGATCACCTGGCACAACGAGTCCCTGCACCCTGGCTCGGACTCGGAATGGGTGAAGGGTTGGCCTGGGCAGGAGTACCGTCATTTACTTTATGTAGGAGTGTTTCATGTGCATGTTTTTCCCTCGAAAGATAATACGGGACGTCCAACAAAACGATACCCCAAAAGCTGAGAGACAAACTGGAAAACGATACGGGACGTCCTAACGTCGGAATGAAATCACCCCAGACAAGTAATGTTGACGCTGACTCACATGTATTTTTGTTGGGTGTTTCGGGAGATGCGGAAAACTGATACCATCGCTGGGCAATACATACAATGACAAACCTTTTTCCTCTGAGCGTTGTGGGACAAGTCCCAAACCATGATGGCCGTGCAGCAACTAACAATGGTCAATGATTACAGTAGCATTCCGGCAGGTAGCTGCCTGTGTGTTCCTGTGAACCTGCCACCAAACCAAAAGCCGAGTCTGTCACGTAAGGACCAGCTGGCACATTGTGTACAACTACGCGGACCTGGCCGGGGGTGCCTGGCATACGCGGCCGGCGCGGGAGGAGTCGCTGTGGCGGATTTGGAACATGGATCCCATGCCCCGGCCTTGGCAGGCGGGGCGAGGCGAAGGGAATGGCTTGACGTCCCCAAAGACCCTTGAAAGAGGGGTTTGAGTTGGGAGCTTGGGGTTGTTGGTTTGGGTTTTGGCGCCAACTCACACCTCGCAGGTGGCGGAGGTGATGTTTTTCACCGACCTGTTCTGTGAGGAGGATAAGCAGGCCCATGGGACACCCATCTCCAACGGAGCCTACTTCGCCGAGAACTGCATTGAGCTTGGTACCTGTGACCAATACGTTGCCAGGAAAGCCTTCGATGGGGCGACTTGGACTGGGAGTTGAATGTCATTAGTTTTTTTTGGTTGGGTTGCTTCATTGGGTGCTGTTAACGTTTGGCGGCGTGTTTGCTATGTCCTTTAGTATGTCTCGGCAGGCCCCACCCATAGTCAGACAGGGTGCATAGTTGCGTTCGGCTTGTTTGTGTTGGGGCTTATTTTCCACGTGCCATCTACTTCCACCCAACAATAGTTTTCGCTGTACTGCCAACAAGTTGGGTGTTCCTTTTCCAGCCAGGTGAAACTGCCTGGGTATCGACTTCCCAGACTGGAGGGGAAATGGATTGCAGCCTGTAACGAATGGGACGGCTGCACGGCAAAGGAAGCCTGGATTGGCCTGGACTTTGATATTTACCCTAAGCAAGTCCGATGCATCCGCATCAACCAGCCGGTGCATGAGGGCTACTATGAAGGACGGGAGAATGCAATAGAAAGAGAGAGAGAGAGAGAGAGATGTAGCGCCATGCAAAGGATGAGTGACGTACCTCGAGCCTTCCTGGAACTGCACCCTTGGACCCCCAATTCTCGGAGCAAGAATGTCTATTTTGGCGGTGTGTTGCTTTTCCAGGCTGGGGCTACCCACACTTCACCTCCCGACTGCTGCTGCAGAGCTGGGACGGCTTCAAGTGGGACGACCGGACGATCTTCGACGGCCTGGGCCAGGGAGGCTGGAACAACACCATGCCTGCGGAGCGCACAGCCTGGCGCATCTCCAACTTCGTGACTTGGACGAAGGGATGGGAGTGTGCTGGTACTCAGATGAGGGGAGGGATTTTGGGCAAAGGAGAGGAGAGAGTCGCGGCGCTTGTGGATTCAACCGGCGGGCTTTTTAGGAAGGTCCGCTGTTGCCCCCTGAGTGATGTATTGCACCAAGCCCGAAAGTGGTGTGCCTTACCAACCTCTTGTCCTTGCGATCAAAAGGTACACTTTTGGGAGTGGTAGTGTGTTCTACTGGCTCCAGCTGTTGAAATGCTCAGACGATTGTCTCCTGACACCAGGGAAAACAAAGTTGCAACCAACCAGCAAATCGTGAGCAAGCCAACCCCGGGAAATATGCTTCTTTCATCAGCACGGCGGGCTGCAACAGATGAGGTGTGGAACAATTGATCCGCTGCCTACCGTTGGTTTGGGGAGGACATGTGGTGGCTACCCAACCAGCCCTTGACCACCCCACCCCCCCCCCCCTCCCATTTTTCCACCCCCTCTTAAAGGAACAGACAATCTTCTCCAGGGTGAGTTGGTGATGTCGTGGGCCTCAAACTAACATGAAAAGCTCCCCCAAGTGGCCTCTGGAACCATTCGGGGGGGGGGGGTTGCTATGGAATCGCCTGGTTAGGACCGGATCCTGGGGTCCTGGCGGGTCTACGAGTTGGAGCTCTCGGAGAATGAGGACTGCGCGGCGCCGTTGAGCGGGGAGTCGGTGAACTCCAACCCCGCGCTGCTGTCCGACGCCCAGAAGGTGGGTCCGGGGAGGGGGACGGGCCAGATGCGCTCAAGTCAGGCGCTTCGGATTGGACAGTCGGTGGAAGTTTCGGATGTTCTCACAGGAACTCTTGAGGCGTACTAGACCGGATGCAAGGCAGAGGTAGGTGCGTATTCACAAAAAAAACTGCCATTTGCATACGCATATCAGGGAACCACTCGGTTTGCAGCTCGTGCCAAGGACTGAGCGTATCACACACACACACACCAAATCGTTTGCAACCTACAACAGTTTGGGTGGTCCTCTACCAGAAATCTTGAAGTCGCATCGATGTGCCCGGGTCCCTACAAGAGGAAAATTATCTCCCTGGCACCCTCCCATAGGTGCTATGCTAGTGGAAGGGAGGGTACCTGGTTTTGGAGAGACTGCTGACATGTTGGAACACGTTCCGATGCAAGTCGACGTTTCGGTGCCAGGCGGCCTGTTGGATGGACCTCGGCAGCTGTGCGGAGAACGCCTTTGACTCCAAGGCAGGGGAACCCCTAGGCCTTGGGGTGAAACGAGATACATTTGGATCCCTTCAGTCCTCGTCCTTGCAATTCTGGCCCCTTCCCGGCCAATTGAACTGGAAACAGGATCCTGGAGAACCTCTTCGGCCCTTGCCTTCTTGGCCCCTTCAATGGGACTTTAACTATAAATAGCAACGTCAGTTTTTTGTTTTGGGCATAAATGGGCCCCGATTTCGCGCGACGGTTTTCCGTTGATGAGGGGGGGGGGCTGGCCTCCAAGAGGGGTCCCCTCAGCTCGAACACCTTTTTTTTGAACAAACTTTAGTCAGACAAATGCATTTTGGGGAAAGCGCATTTTGTGGGAAAGCGCATTTTGTGGGAAAGCGCATTTTGTGGGAAAGCGCATTTTGTTGGAAAACTTGAGGGGTTTGGCAGTGGCTTAGTTTTGGTAGGTTTCAGCGCAGACGAAGCAAATACGAAGCAAAAAGGAAAGCCCCTTGTGTGGCAGGTGTTTGGCTTGGGGGCTGCAGGGGGTACCTTTTCTCATGTGGGATTTGGGGGAAGCCCAAAACATTGGGTAGGGTTCTTGGGGCAAACCTTGTTGCCCACTCACATTCGTGAAAAACTGCGAGACTACCCCTGACAGGCGAGAGGTTCTCGTGCAGTGTTCCAATACCATGACTGGCCCTGACCGAGCTCTTGAGCCCATTCGCAAATCAGCCTCCAGTTGGGGGGGAATTCACCCCTTGACTTGCCCCAGATGGGCCAAAAGAGATACAGATAGATGAGTGAGTAGTCGAGCTCATTCGCGGCTGCTGCCAGCAATACGGCATGCAACGTGTCACACCACCCACATAATCACATCGAGGTTCGTTCACGTAAATACCAATGATGGAAGCTTGTTTCAGCACTGGACGCTGAAGTGCCCGGTATCTCCACAACCTCAATGTTCACCCGAAACTCACAACAGCTGTGTGTTTTCTCGCTCTGCTTCCCAAAGGAAGCCATTGCGCGGGCCTTGACATTTCAGGAAGCTGTCAAGGAACCAGCATCTTGGGCACTTGGTCGCTTCCTACCTGTTCTTGCCGCTTCTTGGTTGCCTCGGAAAGGTGGAGACGGGATGGCAGTCTTCATGCTCGCCCTGCGATCAGCGGAATGCGTGGGTGGGCCTGCGCTTCTCCCAGGCGGTGGGCATCAAATGCTTCAGGCTGGACTATCCACCCGAGCATGGGAATTGATGAATTGGCAGCTTCGTTGGTAATTGGGTGGGAGGGCACGAAGAAGTGCGACCAACTCGGCATCTTTAGAGTTTGGCCACGACTTGTGGGTGTGAGACAGAAGTGCTACACAAAATCCCTCATGCCGTCCGCCTGTTTGATTTGCATTCTTCCGTGCTGGCGCTTGTACTCATGGTAGCAACGTTCGCCCTTTGGGCAAGGCCCGAGAGACAAACTGTAAACCTGGTTGATGGCCGCAACAACCCACACGTTCACATGGGAGAATGGACTTGCCATTTTTCCGGCCCGCTATTGTATGACTCTCGAGTCTCCCCAATTGCAAGGAGCTCACCTCAGTTATAGTCAAATCAATCGGCCCATCAACACAGGGACGCAGAACCTGTCTCAAGCACCCCACAAGCGCAGCTGGATCAAGTGCAGTGCATTTAGCATACCTGCGGTAGGCTCCTGGGCATGAAGCTTTCCTGCAGCAAAATACAAGGTGTTGCTTTGCCGTTCCCTCTAGGCTTACACCTGTCAAGAATGTTCGTTCAATGCCATGTGAGGATGGATGTCCTGACAGTTATTTTCTGCGAAGCCTTTCCCCAGTCTATATTGAGATGCTCGCTACTTGCCGGGTTGTTTGGCTTTGGTTGTTTGTCCACAATTCACGGTTGCAACCCTGCCTTGCGCAACTTGACGTTGCTATGCAGTTCAATCTAGCAGTGAGTGCAAGCAATGCCGGCAACGACTGAAGCCCACCTGTTCTACAACATGTTTGTATATGAGCAGTATTTTGTTGATAGTAGAGCCTTGGTTTGAGCCGTCTTTGCCCGTGTTGGCCGCAGGATTCTTCAGAGCGAGGCACGGGAGGGGAATAGAAAGAGAGAGAGAGAGAGAGAGAGAGCGAAAGAGAGAGTAACAGAATGAGCCACAAGAACCTGAGAGCCTGTGAGTTGCGCCTGCCCTCTTTGGTCACCGCAGCAAATGTTCGCACCCTTTCCCCTATGCAAGTGAAAGAGCACGCCCGGGGCGGTCAATTTTCACGGTTGCAAGCCCTTATGATATCATGTTTTGAAACGGGGTGACAAGTGACAGTGCCGCCCTTGCCACACGAAGATCAATCTGACCATTTGACCCATGGCACCTGGGGTACAAAGTTACACTCCAGCAGAAGGGGGTACAAGTTGGTACTTGATTCCTCTGGCAGCGATTTGCAAGCTGGCACTTCCCACCAATTGGGTGGTCGCAGTGAACATGTTGGCATCAACTGTTTGGTGTTTGCCCGGCTATTCTCGGGTTTCGGCTCTGTAGGACGTGATGCACCGCACGGACGCGGTGGAGCTGGCTGAGTGGATGGGTGACGAGTGGGTGACGCGTCGTTTCGAGTCTGGCGTGGGCGGCGGCACCTGGCTCCTTGGACAAAAGCGATTCCCCTTTCAGCCTTCCATTTGCTTAAGAATTATATTTATCCTTTTTGGTTTAAAGGGAATCTGTCATTCCTGGTATCATACTGGTCAAGGCTTTGGAAGCTTACACAGACCAATAGAGGGCCATGCAGAGCACATGAAATCATTGCCACCCAACTTGAGACTTGTGTTCTTGGTTGCACAGTGACTTCTCAGCGGTCGGCAAAGCGCATGGGCAACCTCATGCCTTTTTTCTCCGCCCGTCGCCACTAGGAACCGGCGGCCCAGCGGCGTGAGCACCATGTGGCGGCTGCTGAGTATTGTAGAGACGGATCGGCCGTGGACGGTCACTGGCCTCGCCTTCTACATGGACGACGCTGGGGGAAGGGGAAGGGGGGGGGGCAACTGAGGGATACTTGCGCAGAATTTGAATGCAAGCTCTCAATCGGTCCATCTTATTGCAATCTCTTCCTTAGCAACCAATTGAGCAAGTTTATTGTAGCGACCACGAGCAGTCTTGGATGCTGTTGTCTAAAGCATCATGCGGCTAAACCAAAGAGATGCATATTCCATGTACATAAATGCAGCTGGCTTATGTGCAGACAACTACTCCAATGGTGAGCCATTAGTGACGACTGCTTTCATGGCACGGCGCCAGATGAGACCGTCTCTGTACTGTCAGGCTTTGGCCCAGAGTTTCTGTAACTTTACACGCCTGAAGGCCAGTCCTTGCCTGGAAATTTTAGCATCTCCTGGCGAGGGTTCCACTGCGGATGCTGTGGGGTGTGGAGCAAGAGAAACATGTTGGAAGCTGGTGCCCATGAGCTAATGGATATTAAATTAGGCAGGCTTGTGTGTAGCACAGAATCAAAAATGCGGGAAGTGGACGACTGCACAGGATGGCAGAGGCCCAAAGGGTCCCACAACGATCACTTTCCATGGACAATCTTGCGAATCGCATGCTCAATGCTCCGCGGATATCTCCGTTCATTGGTTCATTGAAAAATTTCACGGTTCAAGTGAAAGAACACGGGCCCACCGTGGAGAGTTTTATTTTGGTCCGCGGGTTTGGGAACTGCAAACATTTCGCACCTTGGGTAGGTGTGCGACTCGCCCCACCGCGGCGCACCGATCACCAACGGGAACGAGCCGATTCACCGCTCCGAGGATGCGTTCGACGACGCCGAGGCACGAACCGGACGAAACGCGAGCTTGGCTCAGACAAGACTAGGCCTTGGCAAGGGCTGCTGAAGAGTCCTCTTGTCCGTGAGTGCAAAGGCCACAATGTTTTATGGTACGTGCACATGTGTTGCCTCAATTGCAAACCACGATACCTGGTTGATAAATGTAGTTTTTGCAGACATATTGCAAGCGAAGCCCACATCAGAGGTTTCTTGCAAACCAGTTTGTCATGGTTCAAAACAGCCATATACAGGGGTGAGTGGCTTGATTCATAAATTTGGTACGTGGACTGATACATAGGCGGGCGAATTGGTTGCAAGGCCTCTCTCGCGGCAGGATGGTGAACGCAGGTCAATCTCATCGGTTTTGTTGAACTGGAAGTTGTGTGAAACGCGGATAGTTAAAAATGACAATTAAAAAGATCTGACGGCCTTATATATCTTCAGCTTGTTGCAGCGTGTCTGCTTTCTGCTTCAAAGATATATTTCTGGTGTCCTTTGTTTGCTTTGTCGCGGTTGTCCCGGTTGTGCCTTTTGGTTTAAGGTCCGAGACGGCCTTTCCGGCGCATGGGGCGGAGGGGGGCAACGAGTCAGGAGACGCGGTGGGTGACCAGCTGCACGCCCGCCCACACGGGACACCAGGGCTGCATGGCCAACAGCGCCTGGCTGGGCATGCAGATGAGCGAGGCACGGGTGAAATTGGGTATGGATCAGAGTCGGGATGCAATTGCTTTTTGGGTTGAATCATGTATCTTTTGGCGTTGCCCTGTTTGGTTTGGATTTGCTGCGCTGATAGCTCGCCCCTTTGCTGCCCCCTTTGTCCCTTCGGTCACTCGTCGCGTATTGAGTGCTCCTGGTTCCGAAGGCCTTCTCGGTGAAGTGCATCCGGCTGTACCAGTCCCGGGAGCGCCTGAAGCAGAGTTCCACCGCAGTGCTGCAGGTGAGACGCAGAGAAGCCCGTGCGAATCCCCCCAAAACCAAGGTGAATTGATCAGAGCCTGCGTGAGAGAAGACTCTTCACATGAACCAAGGCCTGCAACCCTGACAACCTTTGTCATATGTTTCAGGCAAAGCAATGTGGTCTGCTGACATGGGACACTCGCCGAATCGCGGCAGTAGTGTGTTGCCAAACCACCACTAGGGTATCTTTAAGCTGCATTGAAAGTTTCTGTTGTTCCTGCACAGCTATGTGACTTGACAATTATCCCATTGGGGAGGGTGCGCCATACGTCCTTTTGACGTGATCAGGTCTGGGACGGCCTGGTCTGGACTGCCTCCAAGGCGCAGCTTCCGGGTCAAGGGTTGTTTGCAGGGCGCCATCTGGTGCAAAAGCTAAACACACAACGAGTTGGTTATTAGTATTATTAGAGAGATGCGCCTCCGCACAAACACACCAAAGCAGGCGCCAGAAAGGTGCAGCTACCTGTTGTCGAACATCGAACCAAGCGTCGAGAATTGCCAGCAGCCAAGAACACGGCCCCGAAAACCCTTCTCCAGTGCACCGGAAACACGAGTCCCGATGCTGAAAGCACCAGGCGGCTGGTGCCAAAAGCACCCAGGCCTACAGGCGGTGCTTCCAAAATCACTCACTCACACACACAGACAGGCACTCGCGCCTGCGCACACGTGCGCTCACATGCCCGCTTTCGTGTGCCCCCACATGCGACTTTGCCGAGGACGTGTGTACTGGTACGAACACGCACGAGTGTATGTACACGCACCTTCATATTTGTATTTACGCGCACATGTGAGATTTGTCAATTTGGCGTCCGCTCGGCCGAAGCAGAGGGAAGCATTAAACTCATCATGCCATTCGTCATCGTAGCAACTGACGAGCGTGCGTTTTCATGCCCTCTTGCCCTTGCGCAAGGGATACGCCCAGAACATGCATAGAAGCACTAGACTAGCCTGGCGTTGTGGCTGAAGTGTCGGCTCTAGACTGGCATCCCAAAAAGTGGGCCGCATTGCTAGGCACCTGCGCCACTTTAAACACCATCAAGGCTTTTGAGCCAAGGTCCTTCTTGGGTGCGCTTCGTTAGATATGTCAGGCTGCCAGAAACAGCCCTGAACTTCTTGGGACCATCCTAACATGTTTGTTGTTTAACCTGGCACATGACTTGCGCTGTGCCCCTGCGATGCTGTTTGAGGGTTTGAACATGCTATTCTGGTCTGGGAATCCATTTGAAACTTGCAACACAACAAACAACAAGCCGCAGACCTGCAGACATGGCACTGTAGCCTTGCAGCCCTGCAACCAGCTGACCGTGGTACGCCCAAGCCTACTGACAGGACCATCCCATCCTCACTGAGCTTGGTGGAGGTGCCTGGCAGGCCGCGCCGGGGGGCGTGGGCGTGGCTCCGGTTATTTGAGCTACTGGTTCTTTTCCTTGTCTTCTGCCTCCATGCTAATCATGGCAGGTGGTTTACACAAATTGGGCTATGCTGGACTTGTTCGCAAGTAGTGACTATGAAACAACTCTGTGTGTGGTGTGTGTGTGTGTGTGTGTGTGTGTGTGTGTGTGTGTGTGTGTGTGTGTGTGTGTGTGTGTGTGTGTGTGTGTGTGTGTGTGTGTGTGTGTGTGTGTGTGTGTGTGTGTGCGTGCGTGCGTGCGTGCGTGCGTGCGTGCGTGCGTGCGTGCGTGCGTGCGTGCGTGCGTGCGTGCGTGCGTGCGTGCGTGCGTGCGTGCGTGCGTGCGTGCGTGCGTGGTGTGTGTGTGTGTGTGTGTGTGTGTGTGTGTGTGTGTGTGTGTGTGTGTGTGTGTGTGTGTGTGTGTGTGTGTGTGTGTGCGTGCGTGCGTGCGTGCGTGCGTGCGGGTGCGTGTGTGTGTGTGTGTGTGTGTGTGTGTGTGTGTGTGTGTGTGTGTGTGTGTGTGTGTGTGTGTGTGTGTGTGTGTGTGTGTGTGTGCGTGCGTGCGTGCGCGTGCGTGCGTGCGTGCGTGTGCGTGCGTGCGTGCGTGCGTGCGTTGTGTGTTGTGCGTCGCTTGTCGCGTGTGTGTGTGCTGTGTGGTGTGTGGTGGTGGTTTGTGGTCTGTGTGTGTGTGGTGCATCAGCAAGTAGCATCCTGCCTTTGCCTCAGAAACCGGCTGCCCTGGCATCAAGCACGGTGTGAACTGAGCGGCTGATTTGATGGATTGACCATGACCGTTTCGCTGGAAGCTACCGCAAGTCAACCCCTCCTTCTCCAAACTGGTGAATCCAGTCCAACTTTCACCAGCAACCAACAATGACCCTGAATGTGCTCACCCTTCCCCAGAAGTTCACAGTGTGAACTAGTAATCTATCTTTGCTGGCAATTGATTTGCTGAAGGGAGAGTTGCAGCTGATTTTGCCGAGTCATTGTGCTCTAGCTCGATGCCTCAGATTCCTGACGAATGTCTTCAGCTGGGGTGTGCCTTTGTGCCCTCGTTGGTTTGCTCGTCGAGAAAACCGGCTGAGGTGCTTCCGGGCCAGCGAGGCTCCATGTGGCGCATGCTGGCGGACCCTGCCCCAGGTGGCCACGGCGTGGGGGTGTCTGAGATCTTGTTCTTTCGAGCCGTGGAGAAAACGGAAAGGGCGGGGAAGGGTTTTTTTTGGGTCAGAAGTTTGGCAGCTTGGTTTTAGTTGGTATGGGAGTTAGAAGTGCTGTGTTGTTGGCTGTTCTGGTTTGCGCTGCATAAGTAGGAGTACAGCCCATATTACATGGCTGAAATCCGCTTATGGTTTGTTATGCCCCGATGGTGCAGGAGGTGCTCGTTGTTTTTGGTAAGCGCCACTTGGCCGTCGGACATTGCGGTAAGAAGGCTGGACATGGTGGCCTTTGCAACCATCAGCAGGTGTTGAGTGTTGCATCCACAATCCATGGACCCAGAATGCTAGGACGTTGCGCTAACAATCAAGGTATCAATGGGGCTCAGAGTTTGCCTGGGCAAGCCTCTCAAAGAAATTCGAAGGTACATGGATAGCCCAAGCCAAGGCGGTGTTTCACGTGAGGTCGTCATGAGATAGCAATCCCTCGGGGGTGTAGCCTGGAGGATGTATTCCTGAAGTGGAACATAATATGCCCTGGCAACAATTTGGAGCCTCAGGGGTGCAGTCCGAATTGGATCCAATGTGAGCCACAATGATCCGGTTGTTTGAGGTTTTCTCAAATACACGGGCGTTTGGATGGACCAAACGACCGGAAGTCAATCGTTCTGCACTTGGAGCCGAGGAAAGCCGGACTGCACAGAGCAGATCCAAGTGGCGGTGCCCAACATCATGCCCATCTGCTCCGGCTATGCCACGTCCAGGGAGGTTGGCTTGGCAACTGGATACACAAACCACTATGCTCCTTGGTCTTTCATTCGCTTTTTCGTTGGTCTGGGATAAACAAAGCCAACTCCGAAGGAAACAACGCCGCCGAACAGGTAACAGCCGAGCAGATCACCCGCTTCATCCATCCGATGTTCCTAGCATTCGAAAAGAGCCAAGCCAAGGCGCGGATGGGAGAGCTGGAGACTGCAGACCCCATGAAAGCATTCGACGGGCTTCTGCACACCTTCTGGGCCGACCTGGGTGGCCGGGCTTGGCTAGGCCGGACGGGCGTTCCAGCCCCGCTATTTCTTGGCAGTGTCAAGCTGTGGATGCATTGTTTCCACCTTGCTGATTTCCATGTTGGCGTCTAAGATAGGGGACACACAAAATGATTGTTGCCCCTTTAAACCAACCCCCCAAACAAGGTACAGTACCCCGGACTAACATGGAGGCTCCTACCCTTTGGAAGACTTGGTTTCATTTTAGGCTTCGGCAGTGTACCCCCACAAAGAAGGGTGGGCGAATCGGTGGCAGGCGTGGACTTCTCCACGCAGGTCTCGGACGTGCAGTGCCTGAAACTGGCCTTCCCGGGCATCCGGGCGCTGCAGCCCGCCGGGGGCGAGCTCCAGGGCTGGAACGGCAACACCTGGAGGCCAGGGAAGACGGAAGCACCCCCCCCCAACAAAAAAAAAAGAGGGCCGAGGGAAATTTGGACGACCCCAAAAAAGCATGTTTTCAACAAATGCATGTTTGCCAAATTCGGTGCAAAAACGCAGATGGCACACTTGGGTGATCCTGGAGATGCAGGTTGGGGTTTCTCGTTTTGCGTTTGTTGTTTGTTTTTGCCATGTCGCTAGCAAACTGCAGCTATTGTGCATTCGGCTTTGCGACCTCCAATGATTTGACTAGCTGATTAGATGGAACATACTATGGATTGTGGAGGGCCTTGGCTAGCCTTGATGGAAATCAACGCACTTGTGTAGCCATGCTGCATCGCTTCTCAGTGCGGAGGGTACGTGATGCCAAACAAACGCAACTAAGGCCAATGTAGCCCAACCAAGACTTATGTGTCTAATCACGAAAGTACTGCTGGAGTTGTCCTTCCTAAGCTATGCTTCGCCATCCAGGGAGTCGGGGTTGGCCGAAATAGCTCGGGCCAAATCACCATGATGCTAGTTTGTGATTTAGGAGGTTGTTTTGGGCAATTGTGCGCATTTTGCTAGGCAAGAATCAGCTTGCTTTCGTTCCCAGAAATGATGTTTTGAAGGCGCTTTGTTCTGCAGGTCGCACTTTCAGACTTTGTGTAAGGATAAAACAGGGCCTTTTGCGAACAGGGATGGTACCTGACCAATGATCGACTGGAGTTAATTTGCTTGATGCTCACGCCATGGCAGCGGCCGCAGGGAATTCGCTATTTATCTCGCGTCCTCTTACTGCATGCTTGAACAGGGAGAAACCCTGCCCAAAGTTTTTACATACCCTTGTCGATGATAAACACCCTTGAGCCCGTCAAACAAATACCTCTTACACCAAAGAAGGCCGGACACTTGGGGTCTCCCCAAGCACGAACACTGGACGATAGAACCATGGCGTCGACTGCTTTGCAGTCCCTTCCCACCCACCCGTCGGCTGGTTTATTGGCATTTGGGTTTGTCTCTAAATGAACCCACCAAAAGCGTGGTTTTAATGTTCCCCCATAAAAACCCACCCCTCCAAAACCAAAAAAGACGCTTCCATTTGCGAAGCATCTGGAGCTAGGGCGATCACTGCCTCTTCCTCGGCCTTCAGCATGGACTCCACGCTGCTGGTGCCGCTGCAAGTGCTGGGGGGCCAAGGCTTCCAGCGCCGGCCTGCGCCGGCGGGGTCCATTTGGCGTGTGCAGAACTTGCCGGCCATCCGGACGTGGCAGCCTGGCCCCGGAGATTTTATTTCTAGCTGGGTAGGGGAGCCGCGGACTTGGAGAAAAAACTCGTATCCAAAGAATCGCTTTTGAAGGGAGCGGAGCGGAGCTAAGGAGCTACTCGGAGTTCTTGTTAGGGACATGATTATGAGCTTGGGGTTGGAGGACAACTTGCAGGTTTCGCAACAAGCGTTTGGCAGGACAACTCTTTCCTTTTGTCAAGAACTCACAGGTTTCTGTGAGGTTTGCTCACGGGTGAGAAGTTAATCAAGACCGATTTGGATATAAGTCAGGGCTTTCTTTGCAGGCCTCATTTCTATGCATCATCGTGTGGAAAAGGGGTGCGCATCCTGTTTTGTTTGGGGCTTGTTTTTGCATTTCACGCGACCCAATCAAAGGCACGTCTTCGAGCTGGAGTTCTACCGTGACTTAGCATGCCGTGGGGATCCAGTAGTTGGGGTCCCCATCAGCTCTGCAGAGGACCGAGTGCTGGGCTTGCTATTGGGCAGCGCGGGCATGTTCATGCATTATATTCCACAATACGTTGCAAAGTTTTGAATGAAGATTGCCGACTGCTACGGGATACGGCGCCACATCGTTCATGTTGTGTTGGAGCTCGAAACAACAAATCGGGTTGTGTAATATAACCCACAATTGCAGTTTAATCAGGGTGAGACTTTAGGTGGTGAGGCGTCCCAAAACCCTGTAAAACGATAAAGAGGGAGCCAACGGCCTGACAATAAGACCCTGAGCACCTTTCCCTTTTTATATCTCTCCCACGTCATCATCCAACCTCTGTTTCCAAGATAAAGAGTTGGGGTGATAAAGGGAGATGGCAGAGATAGAAAGTGAATCACATTCTTTCATTATTTTGTTTGGTTTTAATGAGCACGTCGCAAAGCCAATTTTAGAAATGATATGAAGTTAACCCTCATTCCTTTGTCTCGCCTCTCAGCCTTCAGTCTTCTCCGTAAGGCATGAAGGGGTGGAATGACTCTGGACCATCCATTCGCTCGCCCTTTTGGGGGTTGGTTTGTAGGGAAACCAAACGGAAGACATCAATTTTTTGGGTTCCCATGGTTCCCCTACTCTGAGACAAACCACTATGCTTGCAGCATATTCCCATTTGCCTCGGGCGCCTGGAGCACATGGCGAACCCAGCCACCTTCGATCACGGACCTTTTTGCGCGGGTTTTTGATGGCTTGAACTATTTTTTTTTTTTTGCCAAATTCGACCAGCAGAGCGTTCCTGTGCGAACAGACGATCCCTTTGAGTGTTTCGCCCCAGGTTGTCTTTCGCTTCACATGTCCTGCGCGTTGGGGCATGACTAGACCTGTTGGATCATGGGAGGGTCCTGGCAACAGACGCAAACAGAATGTGCATGGCACACCCACGAATACGGGCAGTCGCTGGGGGGGTGGGGTCAGCGCTGCCGTTGTCAGTGATTCTTTTTGCTGTGGATCCGGTCCACTAGCTTCTGCTCGCTTTGGGTGTGGCCAGGATGCTACTCTTGCAGATGCGTTCAGCGGGCACCGGAATCCCCACAAAGCCTTCGACAAGGACCAGCTTACTGTGTGGGAGGCAGGGGCACACGCTGGTTGAAGGCGACAGGACGGGGGCATTAACAAACACTGGGAAGTCAGAGTTCTGACTTGACACTCCAAGGTGTCCGCCATAGCAAAAGTGTATGCCTTCTATGTATCAGTCGGATTTTCCATTGTATGCCCTTTAGACAGTATCCAGCATCACGCCTTGACGGTCCCGTCATTTTGCTGGGGAGGGTTCTCCCCAAGGTGGAAGAGTATTTGTTGCAGTCGCACACTGATAGTGCAATCACCTTAGCGTGCCCATGAACCGAATTTGGACACGTCTGGCTTGTTGCTGTGCGAACCATTGAAGGGACCGAGATCACGGTCAGGGCTTATGGATTTTAAAAGACTCCAAACGGAATTGATGTCCACAAAGGGTCCCTAATTTGAAGTCATTCGTGGGCAAAGGGAAACGCCAGCCTAGAAGCATAGAACCAACCACTCTCTCAGAGCCAGAGCCAAACCATCCAGAATTTTGGCTGAATTCTACGGTGGAGCCCACCTTCAGGAAGCAGGTCTCTTTGCTCCCGCCCAACGCTCCAGGCATTCTGCCCGCAGGGCGTGTGCGCCACCGGCCAAGCCTGGATTGGTTTGGACCTGGACG